TAGGTTGCATGCTAAAGACGCGAATAGTTCGAATTTAAATCAAATCGAATCCACTATCAATTAGTTTTCAAATCTGAGAGCTTCGAATAAGTTTAAAATTTCAAATCATCGGTGGTTCAATTTCGAATCAATCGCTTATTTTATTTGCTTCATTTATGCACGACTCTCGAAAATTGAAAATGATTTATTTTCATGTCTATTTGAAAAATCGGAAACGTTATTGAAAATACCTTATTATTTTCAAATTACTTTTAATGTAAATCCAGGAAAATTTGATTCGAATTCGATTCATTTTTAAATAAAATAATTTGATTCCCAGGTAGCACTTATTGGTTTATATTCATATACGTTTTATATATATTTTCTAAACGTATCCAATGTTCTATAAACGTTTAAGAAACGTATATAAAACTAATATGTGCTACCTGGGTTTGATTCGATATAAATATTTCAAATTCGATTCGATTTGTTTTTGAACATATCAAAGATTCGATTTGACCTCATAAATATATGATTCGCACTCTTGCTGCATATAAAATGTTCTCTTTTAGAGAGTGTCTAGTATAAACTGGGAGAGAGCGTTTTTTCCTCGCGTGGCAATTATTAACCACCTCATTTTATTCTCAGTAATTCTCATAATTATGTTACTTCGTTACCACAAACACATAACGGCTTAGATTAACAATGCAGCTTGCAGAAGCGTTATTTTCTTGGAAAGATATTCGCTTCTCTATTCGCGAAAAAGGAAAAACCATCGGCTTTTTTTCTTGAATTCGCGCCGTCAATCCTGGAAATGTCACAGATTTTCCGTTTCATTCCGAGAAGATTCACCACGTCATGCAAACTGATAAACGGCCTGGAAACAATACGCATCATCATCTTACGTCGCTTTAGCATGACGAAACTTTACGATACTTTTACGTGGCGCAGCATGAAGACGCGACGGAAGCTTTCCGTAAAAAACACGGTCGTCTAATTGTGTCCTTCGATTCAGCGTTTTTTTCCTTGCTCGCGAATTTCTATGCGCATGTAAGACACATATCGTCAGAAAAAAAGGTTACGTGACGCATTGCGTCTATGGATTAAATAATTATCCATTTTGTTAATTTTATATAAGATGAACATTCGGGAGAATTTCTTATTCTTGATAAATGGAAGCTATTTAGAATGATTGTTATCCTCGCAAAAGGTAAAGACACGAAATGAATATCTTGATCGAAAATTTTGTTATTTTTCCGTATACTATTATGTATGTTTATATTTATACATTGAAACAGCGAATTTTAATTAATATTTGTTTTGATTAGTTAGATTTAATTATTCTTTTTATAAATATTTATTTACTATAACAATGTAAGTAAATGTTTACTTAATACTATTTAAAGAAGTATGTGTTAAGATTTAGTAAACTTTTTTTTAATGTATTGTATTATTATAGGCTTAGGTCTCAATGGGCAGCATTATGCTGATACTTCATCCTTTACAGCTCTCTCTAATTTATTTTATAATGTATGTATATTCATACTTTTCTTGTCACTTATACTTTTCAAAATAAAGACTATTATTACTTTATGCTATTACTTTAGGCTATTATGCTGATAAATAGATCTTTAATCGTTTGCGTTTAATATTCTCAGATAGCTGACGTTATTTATCGTCATTTTGACGTTGAAATGATGTCAGCTTAGGAATGTTAAACGCGGACGATCAAAAATAAACGTTCGATTCAACGCGCGTCCAAAGTAATAATAATAATATTTATTGATATCTTCACTTAAATCGATATAATTGTCAGATTACTTTTTGCTCGTCATGCAAACTATCTATTGTAAATGGAAGGTGGAAAGACATTTATTGTCGAGACGATTATTTGTACGAATATAATAATATCGATTTGTTTCGATCGAAGATTTTAAACGCCGACAAACCGAGCGTGCATCTTCCACCGTTTGCGTTCAACATTTGATTCGGTATAATTATCCGTTTTCCACTCGACGTGCAGACAATCTATCGTAAAATGGTTTCGGAGTGGCCACGGCAGGATGCATTAAATGTCCAATCCGTTATTCGCTCCGTTACTTTTCCCTATTTCAAACGCCTTCGTCCTCGATTCTCGACTCTCACGCTCGAGCTCGAGCACTGTGTCAGCAACGGGCATCGCAGAAGTAAAACGACAGATAGGGGAATAATTGTAGATGCAAAACGTCTCACAAGCATAATAGTCGACAGAATTAATAAAGTTAATGATGAAATTATTATTTATATTTTAAGCGTCGGTAATCAGACTGCCCGATTTGGCTGCGCTGATCATTTCTCGTGCAAGGAATAATAAAAATTGCGACGACGACTATGATCAAGTCCAGCTAACTTAATGGAGCGACTGAATTATCAAGCAATTAGTATTAGCAGTGTTTTATTAATGCGGACGGAATAATTAATTGTTTGATAATTGGTTGACAAATTAGATTAGGGAAGTTTACGAGTCATTTATATTTATAATCGGAGATTCTATAGTTGTAAGCAATTTTATTTCGGTTAAATTCGTCGCAGATAGAGATTTCAATCGAATCAATAAATCTTGAATTTTTTTTGTCAATCGCTAATTTGGCCATGTGATTCATTTCGTGTTGTGGAATACTCTGTTTCGCTTTTTCTTTATTGGATTTGTAGCACATATATGAAATGGTATGCGTATAAAATGATATCGATAGGACCACGTCGAGATCAGGTTTTCGTTTATTTACAAACAGATTTCCTCGGTTGTGCCAACAATCAGCAAATTCCTGCTGAGACCTGTCTCGATGTTTTTCGATATATATTTTTTCTTTAAATATAGACGTGATCAAGAGAACTCTAATTTAAATGTATATATAAAATATCAAGCAATCCATAGTCGTAATAATATAAAAAATTCATTGCAGAATGATTTGAAAACAGACAATGAAGAAATATAGTATAAAACTGAAAAAATTGATTTCAGCGAGAAATGCAGACTCATCAGATTAATGAATCGACATATCGTTGATTTTGACATCAGTTGGATGAGATTAATATTAATGATCATTATTTACTGGAATATTAATTGTCAGTTAACATCATATATGTCGTAATTATCTGTCTAGTAATAATATATAATAACGTTAATTTCAGTTTTTTTTTATTTAACGAGAGGATCAACTATACGTTTATAATAAAAAATGATCTTTAACTTTCGCTATCCTGTTCCACTTTATATTGAACATGATGTATGAAACTATTTCTTATTATTCTCCTTATTCTTGAATTAAGTGTACTTTCTTCGCAGAAATGTTTAAATATATATTATGTGAATGACCATAGCACATTGAACCCAGATTTGTGAATTTGCTAAACCTAAATGATTGTACTGAATGTCAATTATTTTTCCCTAAAAAAGTAACATTTAGAACGACTATTTATAGTCGGATCTTATATTTAAGACCAATCTTAAGTATAGTCTTAAGATATCATAAACCAATCAGAAGATGGTATTTATAATCCGTTCTTATATTTAAGATTGTCTGAAGTTACTTGAAGTTAGTCTTGAGGTACTTCAGTCGCATTAGCGACTTAAGACATTACTTAAGATGGTCTTGAAATAAGAACCGACTATGAATGCCGCCCTTAATATTTTTTATCATTTAAAATTTAGAAATACGTATATATATATATACGACACGAGCGACGAGCCCATATTTGAGATATAAATATACAATATAAAATGTCAAGTGACGCACTCTAGCGGTGATAGTACGCACCACGTTTCGATATAATATCGGTAAGAAAGTGTGACAACTCACAAAATTCAACTCAAAATTGTTCCGATTATTCTGATTATTTTATTTGCACTAATTTTTAGCTCAACTTTTTAATCTTTTTCTTATTTAACGCTCAAATACATATTTTTCTCGTTTTGAATATAAATTACGGAAACCATTAATTATGTGAATATAAGATTGTGACAGGCCGATATTCATAGTTTCTTATTATAAACCGTCTTAAGTAATGTCTTAATGCTAATGCGGCCCTCTGATTGGTTCACGATATCTCAAGACTGAACTTAAGATATTTCGATGAGAACTAACTATAGGTGCGATCCACTTTACGCTGTAAATGCTTTGATGAATTCTTTGATTGGTCAATTCGTAAAATTTTTTCTTCTGATTGGTCAACGACATATTTGCAGCGTTAAATAAATCACACCTTATATATGAATACTACTAAACAGCCAAAAAGCCGGTATTCATAAATCCGTTCTTATTTCAAAACTGGCCAGTATTTTTTATAATCGATTTCTATATTTAAAAGTACAGTCTT